AACTTTATATGTTGTAGAAAACCATTCTTTGAAGTTGAAACTAATAATCAGATAAATCTTTGCAATTTGAAAATTAAGTTATCATTAATACTGAAATTGTTATCTGTAACTAAGTAAATCGTTATCGGAATTAACAAATAATTAACATTGATTAACCTTATAACCTTGGCCAAATACATTCAACATATCAATAGTTAAAAACGGAAGAAATCTCTGATGAAACAAAGAAACGAGAAAACAAAAGAACTGTTGCCATCGACGGATCGTTACAGAAACCCGACAGCAGAAAAAGTGGAAGAATACGCGGCAATAATCACCTCTTCGCCCGTTCTTCTCTTTTCATCTTAGACTTCGTGGTCGACTTCTCCTTCTGCGTTTCATCTCTTCGCGTCGCGTCCCTCTTCGCCGTCCATCGACGGGTGAAATTAAGTTGTTAAGAGAGCGGCTGCCCGAGGCGGTCGTTCGAGATTGGCCCCAACGAAAAAAATGCCCGCGTCCTAATTGCGACCAGTAGAGGCAGAGAGTCGACTTCTTCTTCTTTATCGTCCGTGACCGAGAGCGTTCGACGAAGACGAAAATTTCGAACAGACGAAGATGAAAAGCGACGCTATGATAAGGAAGGAAATCGAGGCGGAGACGTATAGGCGAAGAAGAAGGAAGCAAAAAGAAGGTTTCTAATCTTGGGCCACTTATTATGGTTATTGTTGCGTGGAAGATCGACCCCGCGACGGCGTCGAGGAAATGGTATAGGTCTTTTCTTGGTTAAGCCATCAACAGTCGCACGATCGTAGCTGGTATACGGCGAAAGCCAAAGACCGCGTTCAAAACCGAGCGATGTCCTGACCATGAACTGTTACCTCACCGACGCGACGCCAGTAACATCAACTCTATTTCTTTACAATTGGGTTTTATAGAAGAATCATTTTGAAAAGAATTAATTGTGGTTTAGATATTAAACTGTATGTTCCAATTTTATTTTTCATTGTAAACTGTGAGCTAAACAGTTTATTATAATTACAATATTATGACATAAGCCTGAATGATCAACAGATAACGCTTCGAACTCTTGAACCATTTCAGGATATATTAGTCTTAAAAGAACTTGGGTACATTCATGAATTGCTGCTTTTATTCGTCCAAAACATTAAATTCTGTTAATCCAAAATTCGAAACAACTTATCTCGTGCATAAATTCTGTCATAGCATACTTCTGATTTAACAAAAAGAAAGCATTAGAGTTTCAATTAATGAAGAACACGAAAATGAAAGAGAATTTTTACCAACACCTAGAAAAAATATATAATATCCAGCACGCCCAAGGGGTGTATCAATATCTAATGAAATTAAGAACTTGGTAAAAACCTCAAAGACACCAGAATATGGAGGGCCAAATAGTGAGTCGCAAACAAGGCATTAAAAGTGTTTGGAAACAATACTTACACAATCTATTGGCATCCAGAGTATGAATGGGAAGGAAATGACTCGGAATCCGGTAAACAAATATAGCCAAAGCCGTACAAGTCTAAAACAATGAGAATCTTCTCTGTACAAAAACTTTCTAGTTACACCGTCATGAACTCCTATGAAATGCGTAGATCTCTAACAGAATGCGAACTAGAGGAAATAGTGCAAAATATCATGCTTGAAGACGATTCCAATAATGACAACAACTTTAAAAGCGATTCAGTAAATGAAGAAAATTACGAGAGTCCTGTGGAAATCGAATCTGACGATTTGATAATCCTAACTCTGAATCAAGCGAAGATGAAGAAATAACTAATAAATAACAAATTTAGTAACTGTTAGTTACTAAAAGTTATTTTGTAGGAAAAGATAAAACATTCAAGTGGAAAAAAGAGTTTACAACTCCAAGAAGAACAAAAGTAAGGAATATTATATCCCATCTTCCTAGCCCTAAAGGCAAAGTAAAACAAGCAAGAAATCCGATCTCCTCATTTGAATGCTTTATAGCACATAAAATTCTTGTATTAATTAGGGAAAAAGCAAATGAATACATAGATCGAGATGTGCAGAATACCACTGTGGCTGAAGTAAAAGCATTTATTGGTATTTTAATGATGAGTGGAATGTTGAGAGCTTCCCCTCTTAGTTTTCTGGACATGTGGAATACCGATGGCACTGGTATTGAATTTGTTCGCTTATGCATGAGCTCCAAGAGGTTGTTGTTTTTAATGAGATGCATTAGATTTGATTCCCTGACAAGCAGACCAGATCGTCTAAAAACCGACAAGATGGCACATATAAGAGATATATTCGTTCAACAATGCTCTAGTATTCACCAGGGGAATGTCTCACTATTGACGAGATGCTTATTCCGTTTCGAGGGTGGTGCGGTTTTAAACAATATATTTCCAATAAACCCTCTAAATATGGATTAAAAATGTATAATCTAGTTGATTCTGGAACATTCTATAGGTAATATAACTTTACCCAGGAGCTCAACCACATGGTATAAATGAAAAGATCAATCCTCCTGGTTGGGTAGTGAAGAAACTTGTTATACACATCAAAGGTTCAAATAGGAATACTACTATTACTACACATAACTGGTATACCAGTATTCTACTGGCTCTGGAATTGCTCAATAATTATTCCCTTACCCTTGTTGGTACTTGGGGCAAAAAGCAGTCTATTTGATTATGCAGGGTGATTCAAAAAACCGCTGACAGACTTCTAGAGTAGATAATACAAGAAAAATTAAGATGAATAGTCTTAATATACATGGGGTCGGAAATGCCTCGTTGGCGAGATATAGCAGATCAAAGTTTCTTTAAAATTAAACATCATCTGCAATAAAAAGCACTTTTTTAAAAATATTGTCTACGCCATTGCTCTCTACGCGTGTAAAGGGATCAATTATCTATCAATTGGTCTCTTACACAACTTTGATCAAAGCAATAGTTTTTAAGAAAAACACATTTGTAGAAAATTTGATAATTCAATCAAAAACTGTTGCTTTAATCAAAGTTTTGTAAGACACTAATTGATAGATAATTGATCACTTTACACGAAGATACTGCCCGTTTGACAAAATTAGCAGTGGAGTTGAAAATATTTTTAAAAAAAGGCTTTTTATTGCAGATAATTTTTAATTTTAAAGAAATTTCAACCCAACATCTCGTTAAGGAGGCATTTGCGACCCCATGTATATTAAGACTTTTCATCTTAATTTTTGATGTATTACCTGCCCTAGAAGTCTGTCAGCGGTTTTTTGAATCACCCTGTAACAACAAAATGCTGCTGGTATCGTATGTATCAAAGAAATATAAATCGGTTGTACTTGTTTCGACATTTAATGATCAGTCATGTGCGGATCAGAAACCAGACGTGATAACATTTTACAACGTCACCAAAGGTGGCGTAGATGTTGTAGACCAGCTTTCTGCCACATACACCTGTTCAAGAAGAATAAAAGGGTGGCTACTAAGCTTATTTTTGTCTTATTAAATATTGCAGGCGTAAACGCATTTGTAATTTATAATTGCATGAAAAGACAAAATGTGGTGAAGAACATTTCTCAAAGAAGTCACTCTTAAATCAGCCGAAGCACAATTGAATTTTAGAAGAACCATTGCAACTATTCCTAGATCTCTAAAGAGAAAATTAATTGATGTGACTCCTGTAAATACGGGTCCAAGACCGTCCAATAATAAAATTAAGAAACAAGGAAGGTGTCACCTATACCCCAGACAAAATGATATAAAGGCAGGAAATTATGTAACTTGTGCAATAAAAATATATGTGCCACTCATTCCGTATTATTGCGCGGCGAATGTCGTGGTTGTGATGATTAAATATTTGTTAGTTCCTTCACAGAATGCGCAAGTACCAAAAGCAACGTAATGTTGCGTTGTTACGTTGTTTATATTAGGTTAATTATTTATATATTATGTTTTGCTTTTAAAATGTTTTCTAAAGTTAATAAAATATGATATTGAAGCCTTAAAGTTACATGTTTATTTTTTATTCAAAAAAGTTTAGTGAAATCATTTGCACCCCACGCGACTAGTTACGTGACCATTAGACGCGACCAATTAAGCGTTAACCAAATATACACGGTAAAATGCCCTTTAGTAAAGCTTAGAAACATATCATTGATGTACCTACATACCATCTTTATAAACATTAAATAGGGGTATGACGCAATAAATAGAAATAAACTCTATCAAATCTTACATGAGCTGTCTGAGCCACTTAAACTAATACGACTAATAAAAGCTACAATGGAAAATACTGAAGACTACACGGCTGGCCTCAATTCTATTCAACCGAATGCTTAAATTCATCATAAGACAAATAGACATCGTTCTCTTTCAATTTGCTGAACAGTATAGGACAACAATACAGAACAACTGGCTGCATATGCAGATGATGTGAACATTATAAGTAACTTTACATTATAAGTTATAATACAAATTAATTTATAACTTTCAACTAAAGAGAGACGCCAAGTGGGCAGGACTGGAAATAACTACAGGAAAAACAAAGGTATTAACAAAAACATAAAAGATCATCATGGAGGACGGAATTGGACCAATTGAACAATTCTCATATTTGCAGGGATGGCACGGAAACTATAGAAATAAACATAAAAATAACATAAGCAAATGGAAGAATCCCAACCGCTGGGAAGACGCACTGAGTGATACAGTACGAAATCTTCTGGATCTTTTGCGTTGGATGAGATCAGCATCGGCTAGGAGTGGAGACAAAGGTTTAGATAACATTGGTTTGAACTTATCCTCTACAGTAATCCTGGAAACTGAGAGTGATCCTGTATGATCTCACATTGAAACACAACAAAGAATTCGTCTAATTGTGCATTGCATGAAAGGTACTCATTAAGGTCAGAGTAGTAGCGATAACTGATTGATTTCTAAGTATCGATTAGCTAAATTAAGGATACTACTGAAACCGTATTGACTTTCACATTCTGTTACTATCAGCATATCCCAAAAAAATAACAAATAAGAGCAAGATTTAATAAATAATATAATTTATTCCTTATGATTGTCGGTGCAACAAATACTAATAATTGTTACATCACCATATATGATAGTAATAGATAGACGAGGATGAATCTTAGCCTATTGTGTACGTGAGCTATAAATATAAAAATTCTAAGATTTTTGGCCAATACAGATTGATAATTACAGGGCAGTTGTAGCCTTGCTGTGATGCAGATTACACTGATTTATTCTTACTTCACCTATAAACTTACATACAATAAGGATTAGTGTAAATTATGGTGATAGCATTCAATCCTGGGTCTCCAAGTGTTCTTTATCGCTGCATGCTTTTTACTTTGTCATATTTATAACATTTTCTCTCGTTTTCTTTATTTCTGCTTTCTTTGTTTTTGTCACCAACAGTTTTCTTTCTTCATACTTTTTTTGGTAATCTGGCACTGTGGCTTCTTTAGTATTTCTAGTCTTCTTTGATTAATCTTAGTTTCTGGGTTACATCTTGCTTTTTTTAAGCTACATATTTGCATTAATTCTGATTAATTTTTGCTTTCTTTCTCATGCTTTTTACTTGTTTCTAACTTCTTGACTAATTTTTAGGTTAATTATTCTGGTTTTACTACACTGGAATGATGGCTTTCTGCCGTTATAGTATAGTGAAAATATCCTACCATTTTAGTGTAGCTGGCATCCTTCATTTAGATGGCAATTATCATGTTAATTATCAAGTTGTGGACATCATAGAAAGGTAGGACCAACAATTTGTTATTTTCGACCTGTAACATAAGAAATACAGTTTGATTTTGTTCCGTATACACCTCAAGGAGTCCCATATAACATCATGTAAGGTAATTGATTCCTCACCATCATGCTTGGCTCTACAACTTGTTGTGGACCTTGGCCTACCTTAACAGTTCAGCCTTCTTAGGTCCTCCACATCGTCTACAAAACATTTCTTCGACCTCTCAACCAATCTTCAGGTCCAGGGCGATCAAAGATAATTCTTGTGGTACTTTTTATGTCCATTATGGCTACATGGCCAATCTATCTCAACCTTTACACTTTGACAAATTTATCTATCTTTGGTTCGATATTGACGATACAACTCGAAGTTGTATTCTCTTGGTCTTTTCGTATTAAGGTTCATGTTTACGACTCATACAACTTGATGAAGACACAATTTGATTTATCTTGGTAACCTAGATGTGACGCTGTTTTTTAAGCCCACGGAAGCATTTGTTGGCTTGAATTATCGTTTTCTTTATTTGTTCCCTGACCAAATTTTTATTTTTTATCAAGGATCCCAAATATACGAAACTGCTAACTGTCTCTATCTTGTCATATGTAGACAAATAATGACTATTAGGAAGTGAGTTTCATTATGCTTGGATAAGACCTTTTCAATACTTATATGTGCTTAAGACTTCTTGATGGCATTATATAACATCACGATTTAATATCATAAACTCCACCTCCTAGGTATAATAAATTAAAGTAAAATTAAGTAATTATTGTAATATTTCGTAATAAAACATTAATCATATAAATTTAATTAATAAAACTATAAGAATTTTTTATTATTTTAAATTTTTATGATAGAAAATGAAATTCCCTAGTAAACACGTTTCTAAGATTAAGCATGATAAGTAAGTATTACCTCGAAGCAATACAGATTCTTTTCGATGCAATTTACCATAGTTGCGAAGCGATCATAAAAGGTGTACTTGAAGTTTGAATTACACTTAAGATTCTGCAATATCATCATAGAAGATTGGACAGGCGTGATTGGGGCTGATTGAGCATGCACCGGAACTATTGAGATTTCCAACCCGATATGACCTAATGATACACGGTTTGATAAGCGGGAAATTGTAGACATCTTTATAAAACATCTTCAAAGTTGAATACCCACATTAATCTTCTTGTCTATTTTTATTTAGGGTGATATCATAATTTAAATACACACATAACTTTTTTTAGTTCGAATTTTGTTTATCGAAAACAATTCCTTATCATTTCCTTCCACCAACGCCCAAGTTCTTTATACAACCCACACTTAATTCTTTTTCTTCCTTAACTTTAAGATAAAATGTAAAACATGTAAATGCAATTGCATGTAGTACGCGACCATTACGAGATTCGAGCCTATCATTGTGTGGTGCCCTTGACGTCCAACGCATTGTCGTATTTCCACTCTTAATGACAACAAAAATTACACCACGGGTTGGTCGCAATTACCATTATCTGTCAAATGAGTTAAAATAACGTATGTAAAATGCCCCCATTTAGAACATAATATGGTATCATCTTCCCGCATTTAAACCGATATAATTTTCTTTAATATCCTTCCTCTGTAATTATTAAAAGAAGCGGGCGATTGTATTTAAAACTCGGTGGTGGGTCTGTTTAGTGTTTAGAGGAAATTTGATTACCGAACCTACATAATTCATAATGAGAGAGAAAGAAGACGGATGAATACAAGCTTAGTGGTACATTGTGCTTTTCAAAGGTCATTTCCTATTCAATACAGAGACCCCTATGCCACTTTAAACGTAGTTCTTACGTTCGTCTAGGATTACAGACGAGAAAAGCTTACGGGGAACCTTTTTGGTGAAGCGCCCACGCACTCTATTGTTGTACGTGAAATTTATGGCTTTGTGGAAACGCTGTTGCGCATAAGGTCTTCGGTTACTTCTGGGGACCAATGCAGGAAGGCGTCCCTGTGAGTAATCCTTAACTACTTACTACGTAGTTTATGGCCCGTAAATTGTCAACGTAGACGGGGCTGTGAGATCAGATATTTTGTTTTAAAATACGAAATACGAAGCGTTTTTATAGGCTGTATTCTTTTACTAAGAAAAGATCTTAATTTTCGATAGTTAACTTTAAGACAACAAATTTTTCCTGTTATCTTTGGATTCTCCAGATAAAACTTGAGTTGATTTAATTTATGAAGTGTTAAATGTAATAAAGATATCAACCTGTCCACGAGACATATTAATGGATGACCGACGGAAATATCGTGTCATTTTTCTTAGCCATACATTTAAAATGACAAATTTAGGGTGTCAGTTCATAACTCACGAGATCTCAAGATAACGTTTCGATGGTTATTGATGATCTTCAATAAAAAAATCACCTTCAAAATTGAAAATATAATTTTTTTAACCTTTAAATCATTTTGTATATGGAAACCTAAATGTTTCTCGAAGTTCTCCAAGTAGCGTACCCATAACACAACAAAAAAAAACATGAAACCAAAAACTTTATCGCCAATACATCGTCCAGTCTGCACCCCATAAATCGCGGTCGTTTCGAATGGTCGTGAAACGGTGAGGCAGAGAGGGAAAGAAGAGATGGGCGGTAAAACCTGTAAAATAGGATCCGAAAGCACGGTCGTTCGGATTCAGAGGGGTAAAGGGCGTTCACGTCGAGGCTTATAAATAAGACATTATCTCGTGGCGGCGGCGGCGGCGGCGCGAGCTGCGCTTATACTACTTACGATGGCGGGACGACGTGAGGTGTTTCCGTTTTTTACACCGCTTCATTTAAATATATACAGCGTCGGTCGGAGAATGGTCCGCGGTCGTGTACAGCACCGTCAAGAAGCGAGCTTCGACCGGAGAAACCTCGAAGAGGTGTAGAGGTACCCCCGCTGTGGGTACCCACTGAGGCCAAAGGCAAACCAAAGGAACCACTGCTTTTGTCTACGTCTGTGGTATAAAAAATTGTATACAGGCGAGAAATTTTTAATTCATCTATTTTCTTTTCTTAATCTTTTAACAAAGAACTACAAGATACTTTAAACAAAATATATTTAAACAATCAAAAAGTTATCCATACATATTTAATGTTACTTGATTACTATTCAACTATGTTTGATTTTATAACTAACTTAAAGTCAACATTACCTTAATGTTAATAGTAGCACGTTTATTATATCTCTGAGTATGTTTGCAGTTAAAAAGTTATCGGAAAATTAACCGATACGATAAACATATTTCTGATATGTCTTGATAGAATCGCGAAACATACAAAAAATACGTTTTCTCTGAAACTCATCTGATGACTAAAAAATGTTAAAATGATACAATAAATTTATCCTGATTTTTTTCCCAATATTTAGTAAATTGCATTGCAACTTAATGTTTTTAAATAAGCACCAGCTAACAACAGAAACACCAAAAGGCAGTTAATGGAGGAAAGTGGGTTGATAAATGCTGCTTGATGAGGTAATTGTATAATCTACAAGGTTGGAACAAGGTTGAGACAATAAAACAGGAAACAAAAGTAGAAAAAAATGATGCTTAAATAACTACCATTGAGGACAAATGTTGAATCTAGTTAATATCGTGCTGAGTAGATAGAGTCAATTAACTTAACTAGTTTCTATTTCATAAAATTAAGCCAAGATTGATTCGTGGATGAGAAAGAGAACTACTATTTATTTATTTAAGTCTTACAGAGCATACAAAACGGTAGATATGATTAGAATGAACATAGATACTAGATGATGTTAGAAATAACAACCACCACATGATGTCTGCAACATCTATGACAAGAGAAGAAAGGTTGTACATGAGATAAATAAAACAAAATGCTTTACAAAAACGAAAAGAAACCAATCCGATAAGGATGTGTGACCAGTGGTATGGAGAGTATGGAGATGACTATTGTTGTATAAGAAATGGATGAACTATGTAAAAAGAGACAAATGTGTAGGAGAATCATATTAAAGGCAAAAACAAGAAATGTTTGCTCAACGCAGTAGACGTACGAAATGCTTTTAGGTTTGCATCATTGGAAGAAAAAATAAGCGAAATTCATTAATCGAGGAGAGATGTACCAAAAACGACAAATGCATACTGACAGAAACTAAAGAACTAGAAAATTGTGTTGGAGAAATGAAGAAAAGAAGACCTCACCGCCAGAACGAGGTGATATACGTACAGAACTCATTACATATGAGGATGAGATATTGTTCTACCGAATCAATGATCTAATGAATTTATGTATAATCCAACAAAAAAATCAAAAATATATCACTTAACACACTATCTACTTTTAAAAACGGTAATAGAAAGGACCCAAGCAGCTTTAGTGGGTTTAGTGTAACCAGCTCATTTAGCCGCTTATATGATTCATGTATTTACATTGCAGCAATTGATTGGAAAAATGCGTGCTAAACATGAAATACGCATAACTTTTACCGACTTAAAGAAAGCCTATGACAACGTACCAAGAAGTACGATGATGGCATCTCTTAAGACAATTACTCTAGTAAAGGGTTAAGGCAGGGGTGTAGCTTGTCACCAATTATATTTAATCTTAGATGCTGCAATAAAAGTGTGGATAAGATCACGCCACGGTATTCCGATTAATGACATACATTTACGTACATTGAGCTTAGCTGATGACCAAGCAATTATAGCACAGCAACCGAACCCAACCCAAGCCAAACAAATATACCAATGGAAACCGCCTGGAAGAAAATAAAGTAAGAGTGTTGCGTATTGCACTATTTAGAAGAGCTATGGCGTTTGAAAATATGAATGTAGGAATTTGTGATTGATGTATATAGTTTAAGAGATCTTACTTAACAGATCGAATAGTTGAATACTTCTTCTTCTCTCCTATCTCTTATAATAATAATAATATTTAATAATAATAATAATATTTATTCATGCTAAACCAATTGGTATACAGTCGTCTCCATAATATGTAACATATAGACATAAATCCAATCTAAGTAAAATATAGAAATACAGAGTCAGAACTTAAAGACAAAACAGAGACAAATCTAGACAGGCGAGTCCCTGGCGGATTGGCCAAAAGCTCTTCAATATCAAAATAAGCCTTATCAATTAGGAACTTTTTTAGGCACCTTAAAAGAACGTCTGGAAATAGCTCTCTCTCTCTCTCTTGGCTGTGTAAAACATTAAACAATTGAACACAATAATAGTTTACACCGTGTTTTGAGCGATCCAATCCGATTTTGCCGTATTATTATTATATGGTTATTTTTCGTTTGTAAATCCATATTGTTTGTAATATATTTAATGCATTCTAGAATATATAGACATGGAAGCGTCATACAAATAAGCTGTCTAAAAGTTTATCTGTAATTGTCGCGATATCCCAGACATCCAACTATTCTTATTGCTCTTTTTTGTATCCCGAAGATTTGCTTAGCCATACTAGAGTAGCCCCAGGCTATTAGTCCATAAGTGATATGAGATTGTAGCAGTGAGAAGTAATACTGTTCGCTGCGCATGAGTGGAGACGGTGACAGATAGTTGTCTCAGCAAAAAAGCAGCAGAACTAAGTCTACCGGCTAGCTTAACCCCATGCTCAGCCCATATCAGGCCCGAGTCCAGATATAAACGCAAAAACTTGCATTCAGGAACAAGTTCCACCTGGTCATCTGTGCGCAACGTGAAGACTATGTTAAGTGTCTTACTTACATTGAGGGTCAAGTTATTACTATTAAACCAAACCTTAGCTACTTC